TAAGCCTGGACATACTTATTTCTGTGGACAATGCCAATTACAAGACTGTCATGTCTTTATTTTAGAGTTTAGGTGAGAGAGGAATATTTATCCCTGCTCAAAAGCAAGCATTCCAGGTTCTAGATTTTAACTGTGGCAAAAAGTCTTTCTTCTGGTCTTCCTCTGTGAACACTTCTTAAATGTTGAAGTGCATTTTCTTGTAGGCTGTTCGTAACTTGGTCTCTGGTCTCTAGAATTTGGATTCCAAATTCTTTATTACTTACCCACATTGTGTCATTGCCTTTTATATGCAGTTTATCTTTACTGAACATCTTCAGCACAACCTAAAAACAGCTGCCATTCCTGTCTTACCAGGTTTAGAGCCATTGCTTTGGGGGAAGCCAAAGAGAGAGTTTTTATTTTTTATTTCATGTAAAGTTTTGTAAATTTTGTACATTTTAAAACTTTGTAATATAGCTGATGTTGATTTGTATTTGGCATAGATAGTGAACGTATGGCATCTCTTTAAAAAATGCATAAGTAGGGCAAGAATGTGGCTTAGGGGTAGAGCAGCACATTCAGGACATGCAAGGTGTAGGCAAGTTGTATAGTGAACAGCCTGAGCATCACCGGGTGTGGCCCCGGTAACTCTTTCTCTGCAGCCACACATTGCAGGTGTGGCCTCCAGGACAGCAGCAAGGACCAGGGAGCTACAGCTCAGAGGGCTGGTGCATATGCTTTGCATGAGGGGGTTCATGTTTGATCCCTGATAACCTAGTCAAAACCCAAACACAACAAAGTGTGAATATGATATTTTTTTTACCTTATGGGACATTAATATGTCTGAGTGTATCTTTGTTTTTTTATCTTTAAAGGATGGGTTTTCTTGGTTGCTATATGTCTTTCTATACACACACACACACACACACACACACACACCCCTTAACTTTTTTTCTTTTTCTTTCTTAGTTTTGGGTCTATTCCTCTCATAGATCTTGGGGCTCCTTTCTGGTAGTGCTCAGGGATTGAACATGCAAGACATTTGCTCTTGAACCATCTTCCAGCCCTGACCATCCTGTTCTAAGGTTTTAAAATTTATTCAGGACACTCGGCCACTCTGAACAACCAACCAGGGAAGATGGTTCAATTGCAAGGCCTGGTGATGTGGAATTGCTGGAACCCAGCAGCATATGAGGCCACCAGGGCCACACTTGGCAGTATTCAGCTTGCTGTATGTTGCTAGGAATTGAACTTGGATCCTTGTTGCATGCAAGGAGCTGTTTTATCCTATGCCTGTAGTTTGGTTTTTTTGGTTGTTGTTGTTCTGTTTTTATTTTTATTTTTTTAATTACATAAAATGCACTTCATACTCTTCCCGTTGGGTAACATAGTTCTATTATCAGTTTTCACCATTTTATTTTGGTTTATCAATTTTCTTTTTCTTTTTGGGTCACGTTCGGCGATGCACAGGGGTTACCCTGGTTCACGCACTCAGGTATTACTCCTGGCGTTGCTTGGGGGACCATATGGGATGCTGGGAATCGAACCCGGGTTGGCTGCATGCAAGGCAAACACCCTACCCGCCTTGCTATCACTCCAGCCCCAGGTTTATCAATTTTGTATCAAAGTATGGCATATATCAGTAAAATCATCTAATGCCTACGTTTTCCCTTTCAGTTTCATTTCACTTAATCTTTAAACTCTTTGCACTTTGCTCCTAATGGCCAAGTTTTCTAAGTGTACCATATCTGCTTTGTTGCTTCCATATTTCTGCAATTGTAAATAATACTGTAGTAAACATGGGTTGGATATAACTTTTTATATTGTTTTTCTGTTCTTTGCATAGATTTCCAGAAATAGTGTTGTTGGATTGCATAGTAGTTTTATCTTCAGCTTCAGAACTTGAAGAAGTTCCATACATTTTCCAAAATTACTGTATTATTTTACATTTCCACCAACAATCTTTTTCTTATAGGTGTGAGATCGTATCTTACCCTGGTTTTAATTTGCAATTTCCTTGATAATCAGTGGTGACCAGCACCTTTTCATATGCCCTCTTACGCTGGAGCGATAGCACAGCGGGTAGGGCGTTCGCCTTACAAGCGGCCAACATGGCCGACCCGAGTTCGATTCCTCCGCCCCTCTCGGAGAGCCCGGCAAGCTACCAAGAGTATTCGATATGCCAAACACAGTAACAACAAAGTCTCCAATGGAGACGTTACTGGGCCCACTCGAGCAAATCGACGATCAACGGGAGGGCCTTTACCTTACCTTACCTTACCTTATTTATGTTCTCTGCTTAAATTTCCTGTGCCCTCCCCCATTTTTTGATGGTTCCTAATTATGGGTTGCCACACCTGGTGGTGTTGGGTGCAGGAGACGCTACCAAGACTACTCTAGATGGTGCTTGGGGAGACCCATTCCAGGGGATCAAATCCAGACCCTCCAAATGAAAGTCACGTGCTGTAACTTTTGGCTGGAGCCATACACCAAGCTCACCTTCTCATTAAAAAAAATTATTTGAGTTCCTCATATTTTACAGAATTATTTTGGTTTTACTTTGATTTGGGTTGGCACCCTGCTATGCTGACTGCCACACCCAGAGGACTTATTCCTGGCTCTGCTCTCAGGGGTCTCTCCTGGGTGGGCTTGGTGGATAATACCGAGGCTGGGGATAGATAGAGCCTGGGTCTGCCATGTGCAAGGCAAGCACTCTGAACTGTGTCCCTAGCCCGTATGGAATATTTTATTTAGGACACAGCTGACTGTGCTCAGGGTTTACTCCTGGTGCTGGGATCACTCCTGGTGATCACTTCGGGGGTCCATAATGTGGTATTGGGGATCAGACCTGGGTTAGTCAGGTGCAAGGCAAGTGCCCTGCCCTTTGTACTATCTCTCCAGCCCTGAGTTCTTTATATTTTAGGTATAATCTGCTGATTATATGCTTTGCAGCTATTATCTTCATTAATTAGGACTTTCATTGTTTTTTTTTTTTTTTTTTTTTTTTTTTTTGCTTTTTGGTTCACACCCAGCGATGCACAGGGGTTACTCCTGGCTCTGCACTCAGGAATTACTCCTGGTAGTACTCAGGGGACCATATGGGATGCTGGGAATTGAACCCGGGTTGGCCGTGTATAAGGCAGATGTCCTGCCCGCTGTGCTATCACTCCGGCCCCTCAACGACATCTTTAATGCTGATGTTGTGTAACATTTCTCCTTATAATCTATAGATATTTTATGGTGTTGGGTCTTATTCTAGAATTTTAATCTATTTCGAATGTAGCTCTTTTAGGAAACAGGTGTTAGGATCACACATAGCGGTTTCCAGGGCTTACTCCTGGCTTTTACACTCAGGGATCACTCCCAACGGCACCTGGGATCAAACCTGGGTTGCTATGTACAGGGCAATTTTGTAATTGCTGTGCTGTTTCCTTTTGTAGATTTTCTCAGTCTACCCTTCGCTACTCTTTGTGTAGATAGCATTAGTCAATTAATTTTCCCCTTTGCTTTATTCTGCTGCTCTGTCTGAAGCTCACAGTTTGATGGTATCATTTGCTAGATGTTGCACCCTTTGGTTGTGGTGCCTGTGCACAGTATTTGAGGTGCTCGCTGCTGTCCTGGTGAGGGAGTTCATACCCAGCAGTGCTCAGAAGTATTCCTGGCTCTGTGCTTAGGCCTGTGCCTAGGGGACCATAGAAGCCAGTGCTGGGGCTTGAAGTTGGGTCAGCCACATGCAAGGCAAGTGTCTTCTCCCTGTACTCTTTCTTTGGCTGTCTACCCAACACCTAGATGCTGTTCCTTAGCGTTGTTTCTTATGATACTGCTTTTTCTGGAATTTGACATGTATTGCTCAAATCATAATGTGATAATAGACTTCTCCTATCTTCAGCTGTGTAGCTCTCTACTGGATATCCTTGTTTGATGCTTGTAATGGGCTGCTTGCTGTGCTAGAGATCCCCTGCAGTGTAGTGTCAGGTTAAAGAAGGAAAGAAATTGCCTTGCCAAAACCTTAGAGGGTTGGAGAGATAGTATAGGTAGGGCGCTTGCTTTAAACTGACTGACCCATATTCAATCCCCAGTACCCCATGTGGTCCCCTGAGCAATGCCAGGAATGATTCCTGAGCATTCATCCAGGAGTAACCCCCGAGTACCGCTGGTTGTGTGTGTTCTTCCGTTCTTCCCTTTCACCTTCTCCCCCGCCCCCCAGTCAAACCTTAGCTACGTAGGTAGAACTGATGGTTAGTGAGGAAGACTCGAACCAGAGACCATGCCATCTGGATTTCCCTTCTTTTTGCTTCTCGTCATTGTTACAGAATAACCTACTTCATGAATTATGGAACATGTGTGATTAAGTTTGGCAGCCAGAAAGAAATTATAGTCTCTTTGTCCAGTTTTGGATAGAAAATCTCCTGATACCCATTGTAATAGAATCAGCTCTGTTGCCCATGGCAGGATATAAAGTATTTGACTGATAATGCATTTCAGTTATGGTGGTGTCAAGGAGCTATTATGAAAGGAGGCATAACTTAATCCCATCAGGCTTTCCTATATAATGCTGATTTCAGTCAAGGTGAGATTTTTTTTTTTTATAGTTACTAATGTATTATAGCTGCTTGATTACCCAAGTAGGGGGTGAGTGTTAACGCCACTTATTATCTGGGTTGTCTGTGAATACAAATGCATTAGATGAAGAAATCCTTATGAAAATTTGAGTGTTCTCTGGATTTGGAGTTTATATGGCAATTATGGCATTTTAAAATATTCTTATTAAAATAACTCACGGTTTTTAAAAGTTATATAATAGGCTACTCCATGAATGCATTTGGCTTTTTTCCACTGTTATATTCCTTACACTCAAAAAGTGATAAAGTAGAAAAATTCCGTTTATTCAAGTCTTGATTATTTTCCCATTGTTTATATTTGGAGAAATGTAACTTTAAATAAGTTTTTACTTAAATCATAGACTAGTGAAAACTTCTGAGGATAATAAAGTAACTTGTTTTCTTTTCCTTTTCTTCTAGACTACCTGATACATGTCTGAATCAAGATACAGTTCTTAATACCTTTGTTGTGGTTCAGAAGCAAATCTCTGTAGCATCAGAAGTGAAGAAGGGACTGACTTACTCTTTATGAAATTAACTGTGTACGGGACCAAAGCACAGAGAAGTAGTAGAACTTTTTTTGTCATCGTTGGACATCCATCATATTGAGGAGCATATTTTGTAGAGCCTCCCAATTTGAGATCTTTGGAAACTTCATTGGTGCTCATTTATATCTGGGACTATTAAGCATGAGTGAATTCTGGTTGTGTTTCAACTGCTGTATTGCAGAACAGCCGCAGCCTGTAAGTATGAAGCAATGTGTGGAGATTGGGTGGGGTGCTTATTAAAACAAACCACTGGTTCTCAGAGAATCAGGATCCTCTGAGAAGTTGCTCATAATACAGTTGTTTTGGACATTTTGTGTTTTAGGACCAATCCTACCACTCCTGTGACCTTCCCTCCACCATTGTTCCCAGACCTCCCCCACCCTGCCTGTCTGTCCCCAACTGCCCCTTAATAGGCACAAAATAACTTAAATTGCTTGTTGCAACTAAATGGCTAATGGAATTACTGAAAAATACTTAAGTAAAAGAAAATTTGTGGGAATTGTTCTATTTCATAGTGGGGCCATTAGGTCCTTGTCTGAGGGTTTACTAAGCTGTTGCTAGTTGAGCCTTCTGTGTTGTTTTCACTTATTGAGCTTTGTGGGCATCTGTGTTACTTTCCCATCTATTTTGCTGTGCTCCTACTGGGTTGTCAGTATTGTGGAATGTGGAGGTCTCATGTGGGCACTGTTTGTGGCTGCTCACTGTAGGAGCTCCAGGATCTGTGGAACTGGGATGCGTTTTGGTCTGCTTCCCTCTCAAGGAGGCCTCAGAGTTTTCAGCCTGAAGACTATTGTACCTGAGACTTTCATCAGCTTAGCTTGTCACCTTTCCTGAGATTAGTTGCAAAGCGAATCTGTTTCTGTGGTGGAGGCTGTGGAATGTTGGGTGGCTGCTGCGGCTTCCAGCAGTATGAGGGATGGTGGGAGGCTATTGCTCCGCCCCTCTCGGAGAGCCCGGCAAGCTACCGGGAGTATCTCATCCGCACAGCAGAGCCTGGCAAGCTACCCGTGACGTATTCGATATGCCAAACACAGTAACAACAAAGTCTCCAATGGAGACGTTACTGGGCCCGCTCGAGCAAATCGAACAATGGGAGGACAGTGACAGTGACAGTCACGAAGCGAATCTGTTTCTGTGGTGGAGGCTGTGGAATGTTTGGTGACTGCTGCGGCTTCCAGCAGTATGAGGGGTGGTGGGAGGCTATCCATCCCTACTCTGAGTAGGCCCCAGAGTTTTCAGCTGCACACCGGTGTACCTGTGACTTTTCATTGGCCGGCCTGGCTTCTCTACCAAGATTAGTCATGAGATTGCGAGTCAAGGCTGTTTACATGGTGGAGGTTGTCACATGATATTTACATAGTGTAGGTTGTCACATGTAGGTTGTCTCAGTTTTTCTAAACGCTCCCCCCACCACCCTTCCAGGTAAAATTCTTTGTAATTTTTTGCTTTGTTGTTGTTGTTGTTTTTTGCCACACTGAGCTGTCCTTGGGGATTACTCCTGTGCTCAAGGGTCACTCCTGGTGGACTCAGTCGACCATATGGGGTGCCAGGACTCCACCCTGGGTTGACTGCATTCAAGGCAAGCACCCTACCCATTATACTATCACTGTCTATATTTTTTTAATGTTTACTCTTTGATGCCTGGTTCCAGAAGGGTTGACAAATGAAAAGTAAAGACGACTGGAAGAAAAAGAACCACTTTTGTGTGTTTGGGTGGGAGGTACTCCCAGCTTTGCCTCTGGGCTTACTCCTGGGTCTGTCCTCAGTGCTCACTCCTGAGGAGGTTTAAAGAACCACAGGTGTTACCAGGAATTCTAGTCACTTATGTGTAAGGAAAGCAGCTCATCCATTGTATCTGTCTGTTCCCAAGGCACTACTTTTTAAATGCTCTAGAAATTATGTCAGAAAAATGGTGTTTTTTTCTGATTAGGAGAACTATTAGGAGGACAGGTTACACTTTGCAACAACTCTCTTCTGGTGCTCTTTTGTCTCTGAATTTCTCTAAAGATTTTTGAAGTAGGTCTGGGATGCCCAGTTCTTTGTTTTGAACCACACCTGTTGATTCCAGGCTTGAACAAAGAGCTCCTGAAGGTGAAGCATACGCTTGGTCACTTTGAGGGACCTTCAGGCCAGTGAGATGTTGAGTTCTTTTAGTTGTATTAGAGCCTTATGATGGTGGTGATACCGTATTAAGGGAAGGCAATTTACATTGTCCTGTAATATATATTATATTATGTAAGTTCCCAGTCTCTGAACCCATTTAATCTATATTGTCCTGTATGATTAGGGTTGACTGCACCCTGGCTGTGTCATACATAAGTGCTTCCTGGGTTGTTTTTTGTTTTCACTTCTTAGTTGAACCATAAAGGTTTGTGAGAGAGGGTTGGAGTTGGGTATTTCCCCTCCGTGAGTTAGTTTCTGGCAAAATTCAGTAGAGTAGGCACTAGGGATCATTTTTTATTTGAAAGGTTGTTTTTGTGAAAATAGAATGATCTGGCATGTTTTTAAGCGACTACCCTTCTCTCTCTCTCTCTCTCTCTCTCTGCCTCCCCTCTCTCCTAACTACCCCTCCCACCCCCCCCCCCACCCCCCAAGGCACAGAATTGTTTTCATTTTTATTTTGAGAACATGCTAGAGTTCCTGGGGTTAACCTTCAGGTGGCTCCTCTAAGATCACCACCCCCCCTCCACCCCCCCCCCCCCAACCTCTGGGAGATTTTACAAAACTCTCAAGACTTGTCTATACAGATCCACTAATCCTCCTGCAATTGCATCAATTATAGTTTAGGGTCTCCTACACTGGTTCTGGGTTCCCAGGAGATTTCTACTCATGGCTTTCTGCTCAGCTAAGTTATGATTTTCTGTGTCTTGCTGTCTCTTCAATTTGGTGAGCAATGGGTTTTCTGTAATTTAAGTTTCATAATGGAGCTAAGAAGAGTTGTTGGTTTTTCATCCTTTCAGCATTTTTTTTCTGGTTGTGTGAACGGTGCTAGCTTCTAAGCTCCTCACGTTTCAGACCAGAAACTAGGAATCATATAGGTAAAACAGAGTGATACTAGATTAGTAATTTAAATAAGAGCATAAGACTTTGTCATTATAAATATGAGGCATTAGAAATACATTTTTTGGGGGATGGAGAGATAGTACAGTGGGTGGGATGCTAGCTTTGCACACTACCAACCCTGGTTCAATCCCTGTCATCCCAGTGATCCCCTAAGCCAAGCCAGGAGTGATTCCTGAATGTAGAGCCAGGAGTAAACCCTGAGCACTGCCGGGTGTACCCCACAAAACAAAATATTTTGTTACAGAAAGGTTTGCAACTTGAGTTTTATACGTATATATGCTGTTGGTGATCAACCAGTGCTTCGTACATGAAAAACACAGGGCCTGCCACTGAGCCAGTAGTGTTACCCGTTTAATAGACACATTTGTGCAAGTATTGCACAAGAATTCCAGGGGCATCTGATTTCTTAGCTTTTTATCTGAGGAAAGTGACACAAAGCTTATGGGGCCATACAGGTTGAATAGTGGAGGAAGGGCTTGCTTTTTCGGCACCAGGGACACGCACTGGAAGCATGTACTCTTAAATTTTCTGTATCTTTGCAGTCCACAAAAACAGTTCCTTGCAGTTCTGTTCGACAATATCAGGAACGTCTTACTTGAAAACTGCTTGGTCATCTCTGAAGTTTGCAGAGTATTTACTGAAATGAAGCACTGCGTGCCTCCGCTCCCACTCACGCCTTCCCACCCTCTGCTCCGGCACATTCCTTGTGTGAGAAAGGAACAGCCCAATATTGGGAAGAAAACAAAGTGTGTTTTTCTCAGTAGTAGCATAAGAATCGTACTTTCTCTTCCTACTCCTTCATTTCAGTACAGTACAATACAGAGTATAATAGAGTCCCACTTTTTTGAGCAGTGGCAGTTCAGACCTTTAAAATGCTTGAGATACATAAACGCTGTAGTGACGTTGTCACATGTAGCGAAGGTTGTAGATGTAAAATTGGATGGTTGCGGACTTGCTCTTCATAAGATTCAATTCACCTTGTTATTGGAATGCTAGCAGACCTTTTTTTTTTTGGTATGGGGGTGTTGAACCCAGGGCCTGTCCTTTGCATTCTCATCTCTGGCCAGTATATATAAAGGTAAACACAATCATCCTACCTATCCCGGCTTTATTGAGGCTTAATTTGATCAGGAAAAGGTGCAGTTTGATGAATTTGCAATTGGTGTATGTATACACTTTGCTACAGTCAGTATTAAAAAAAGTGTTGATTTATAAAACAAAACTTTAAGCCAACCACTTTTTAAAAATTAATACTACTGCATGCTCCATTTTATGTTTTCCTACATGGTATTGATTTTTGGGTAATGCTCTTTGTCTCAGTGCTGCTTTAGATAGTCATCACAGAGTGCTTGTATTGTAATGGTATCAGTATTTCTTCAGTGACCCAGGAACCGAGGAGACAACACTGAACAAAACAGATACTGTTTCTGCCTCTGTAGTGGAGATTTTGAATGAATGGAAGAACATAATCCTTTTTCCAGTGGTATGAAGAGGCCAAACGTTACTGTATGGAAGACCAAACATCAGAGTAGACTCCTCTCTCACCCAGTGAATCCTTTGAAGCATGGGATCTGTGGCAGCTAATGGTTATGCTTTCTGCCATTCTTTGTTGTTCTGATGTATGTGGTTTTTTAAAAAATTTTTTTAAAAATTGAATTTCTGTGAGATTGCCAAGGGTTCTAGGAACTTTAAGATTCTTCAAGGGAAATGGTTAAGGAATTGAAGGTAGTAGGCACCTAGGATTGTCGAAAGAGCTTACATATTCTGAAAAATATTGAAGCCATTTAGGCTGTGGTGCAGTTGTCAGGATTGGCCCCTAGGTGCCCTGAGCACTGCTTAGGGGACAACCTGCCTTCCCCGGTTAAAAAAAAAAATGGCCATTCCAACAAGCAGAGTGGATGAAGCAACAGTTCTGTGAAAAATGTTGAGAGGAGAGGCTGGAATGATAGCACAGTGGGCAGGGCGTTTGCCTTGCACGCGGCCTAACCCAGGTTCAATTTCCCCGCATCTCATATGGTCCCCAGAGCACCGCCAGGAGTAATTCCTGAGTGCGTGAACCAGGAGTAACCCCTGTGCATCACTGGGTGTGACCCCCCCAAAAAAAAAGATGTTGAGAGGAAACTCTAGCTGAG